ATATATATATATATATATATATATATATATATATATATATATATATATATATATATATATATATATATATATATATATATATATATATATATATATATACTGGCAGCAGGTTTTCTTTCAAACATGTTTCATTGAATATGACCGCATATTCTGTATTTATTATTTTCTGGTTTAGGGCTTCTATCCCTCTAACTATTTTCTTAGCATCAGGGCTTAATTGAAATAGGAGTTCTCCAAAACTCATTTTCGTACTTTTAAGGTGAAGAAAAGAAGTGATTTACTATAGAGTGTATTACACTTATTTGTATAATTTGCACGACGTTTCGAACCTCCATGGTTCATTCTCAAGTGAACAGATCTTACAATACTAGTTGATTTTATACCCGCATTAGGTCAGGTGATAATACAATGAAGGTGAAAACATGGGGGGATACATAAGGGATAAACATAGGGGCTGCAGAAGGCTTATTGGCCCATACGAGGCATCTCCTATCTAAACACAAAGATTAATCCAGTGTAATTGGCCTGTTATGTTGGACATTGTCTTCTGTGTTGGCATCGATATGTTCTTGTCTTGTCCTTACTCTCATGGTGGGTAGAGTAAATAGTTCCGTGATTTGGGTGTTCATGGTAGGTCGCTCTATTCTTATGTGAATTGCCTCAAGAATTTGTAATCTTCTTGAATCTTGGGTTTTGTCTATTATGCAAGTATTCTTGTTCAACATTTCTCTTGTTAGAGTAATGTCATGGGCTTGTCTCATGTGATTCCTAGGGGCACCAGATTGAAGATGGCATGTCAAACGCCTCGTCAGCTTGTTCGACGTCATACCTATGTACTTACATTGAAGGTTACATCCTTCGTGGGGGCAAGTGTACATGTATACAACGCTTGACTGCTGTAGAGGGTTCTCCGTCGGCTTCGGGCTGTTTTTGATAAGGAGTTCGGAAGTCTTCTTGGTTTTGTAGAATATTATCAGGTTTATGTTTTGGTTAGGAGTAGTGCTTTTTACTCCTTTACGGATTATTTCTTTCATTATTCTTTCCTCTTTTATATGTTCACTGTGCATGGTTGATTTGTAATATAATTTTATTGGGGGTGTTGTGGTTTCTGTTCTAGGTTCTGAATTATACCAACGGTCCAAGTGTCTTCTTATAGCAGCGTTTATTTCCGCGTTGCTATATCCGTTGTTCACCAATACCTGAGTTACTCTTTCAAACTCTCTACTCACGTTGCTCCATTCAGAGCAGTGGGTAAGCGCTCGACGAATATAAGCATTGAGAACACTGGCTTTGTATCTTTGGGGGCACTCACTTCTACCGTTCAGGCATAATCCTATGTTGGTGGGCTTGGTATATACGTTGGTGCTTAAAGAGGTTCCTGTTTTTGTTATTAGTACATCCAAGAATGGCAGACTGTTATTTTCACAATTTTCATGTGTAAATCGGAGTACTGACTCTCTCTCTAGGTGTCTTTTTAGGTCAATTAGTTCATCTGAGTCTTTTACTATTACGAATATGTCATCTACATAACGGCAGTATATATATATATATATATAATATATATATATATATATATATATATATATATATATATATGTGTGTGTGTGAGAAAGCTGCATGAACGCGCAAGCCATATATCACTAAGAACTCTTTGACCCGGCCAGGATTCGAACCCATGCCGTCCAGGATCACCCCTAAACGTACACAGTACCGTGACCACCGCACCAATAGTTAATAAGAGCCAAGACTGACCAATCCTTATAAACGATCATTAGTGCGGTGGTCACGGTACTGTGTACGTTTAGGGGTGATCCTGGACGGCATGGGTTCGAATCCTGGCCGGGTCAAAGAGTTCTTAGTGATATATGGCTTGCGCGTTCATGCAGCTTTCTCACATATATATATATATATATATATATATATATATATATATATATATATATATATATATATAAAGTGGTGGCCGGTAACAAATTATATACCAGGACTTACCTGCTAAGGAATTCGTGCAGTATACACAAAAACTCCCTCCAGCCCAGACCGCCAGGTAAGAATTGAAATTCAGGTTCCTCCTTCAGGCACCGTTGGGGGCCACATGTCGAATAGTAACTGTCAAGCTGACAACTGTGCTTCCTCCACCTCTCTTTACAAAGACATATGTATATATAAATAGAATAATCTGTTTAGTACACGACTAAATCACCAACTTAGATCTGTTAAAACCAGCCGGCAGATTACATGTTATGAATTCATTATATTTTAGCAACGCTGTACTCGTTCTCACGCTTCCAACCTCACTCTGTTCAGTTGCAGTAACGCTTGTTTTCCTACAGAAGACCAACCCTGGACATTACACCTTCACCACCTGACCATAACGTTCAAGTATGCACCTCAGATGGTCATTCGGCAGTTCAAACGGTGCATCCCCCACCGCAACATAGGTGGTCTAACATAAATTGTTGACATGTACAGAACATTCCCATTGATTCATTTTACATCCTTCACTTCATATGTTTAAAAAAATTAGTTTCTGACGTACACAACCTCGGTAAACTTCACCACAACCCTTTTATTTCGGAGTACCTGGAATCCGATTACTTCTTCTATTTAACTCCCAAGACGTCGAAAATCACGTCACTTACTCCAGCAGACTCTCAGAAAACGTGAACCCCATCGACTGAGAAGGCCAGGGTTAGTTAAATAATAAATAATAAACGCAGCTGTGCCAGACAAACACAACTGTGCCAGAGAAAAGAGCTGTATCACACACAAGTACTTTTATATAGTGATAGTTGTAAACAAGAGAAAAGAAACTTAACCAAAGGTGGAAGAAGCGCCGATCATTCACGGATTCAAGAGCAAGAACGACAGAGCAGCGAAGCGCCAGGATACAAATGCACCAGGCACAGTAGCAGTGAGACGGGGCTCTAGAGCTGAGTCTCACTCCCACAGACAGAACAATAAGCATACATATATATACAGTCCTCCTCCACCCCCAACGCTTCAAGCCACCCAACCACCAAGCCTCACGCCGGCGAGATGCCTCATAAACACTCGTTGTAAAGTAAGTTAGCGTAGAATAAGTTAAGTTACGTGGCGAGTTGAAGAGAGAGGGGTCGGGGGAGAGTGGCCCAGGCCACAGGGGGGAGAGTGGCCCGGGCGACAGGGGGGAGTGTGGCCCGGGCCACAGGGGAGAGAGTGGCCCGGGCCACAGGGGAGAGAGTGGCCCGGGCCGCGTGACAGTGTCAGACAGCGTTCAGACGCGGGTGTCGCTAATGAGCCGTGTTGTGGTGGCTTTAAGGGCCATTACCGTGTAGATCCCCCTCGATAAATGGCCCTGGCCAAATTGCTCTCGCTAATGAAAAGCAATTATAATGTTAATGAGAAGGTGAAGTAATTCTAAAAGATTTTGGAGGTGGTGTGTTGGGGGGGATGGTGGGGGGGTGAGGAGGGGTTAGATATAGTGGTAATTGGGTGTAAGTGGTGGTTATGATGATGGAGTGGTAGTGGAGTCATAATTGTGGTAGATGGGGGGGATTTAACGGTGATTAGGTGACGGAGTTTGGGTGGTGGTGAAAAGAGGGAGTCAACACAAGCTTCACCAATAACAGAAGCTTCACCAATAACAGAAGCTTCACCAATAACAGAAGCTTCAACAGTAGCAGAAGCTTCAACAGTAACAGAAGCTTCACCAATAACAGAAGCTTCACCAACAACAGAAGCTTCACCAATAACAGAAGCTTCACTAACAACAGAAGCTTCACCAACAACAGAAGCTTCACCAATAACAGAAGCTTCACCAACAACAAAAGCTTCACCAATAACAGAAGCTTCACCAATAACAGAGGCTTCACCAACAACAGAAGCTTCACCAATAACAGAAGCTTCATCAGTAACAGAAGCTTCACTAACAACAGAAGCTTCACCAACAACAGAAGCTTCACCAATAACAGAAGCTTCACCAACAACAGAAGCTTCACCAATAACAGAAGCTTCACTAACAACAGAAGCTTCACCAACAACAGAAGCTTCACCAATAACAGAAGCTTCACCAGTAACAGAAGCTTCACCAACAACAAAAGCTTCAACAGTAACTGAAGCTTCACCAACAACAGAAGCTTCACCAACAACAAAAGCTTCAACAGTAATAGAAGCTTCACCAATAACAGAAGCTTCACCAACAACAGAAGCTTCACCAACAACAGAAGCTTCACCAACAACAGAAGCTTCCCCAATAACAGAAGCTTCCCCAATAACAGAAGCTTCACCAACAACAGAAGCTTCACCAATAACAGAAGCTTCACCAATAACAGAAGCTTCACCAACAACAGAAGCTTCACCAACAACAGAAGCTTCACCAATAACAGAAGCTTCACCAACAACAGAAGCTTCACCAACAACACAAGCTTCACCAATAACAGAAGCTTCACCAACAACAGAAGCTTCACCAACAACACAAGCTTCACCAATAACAGAAGCTTCACCAACAACACAAGCTTCACCAATAACAGAAGCTTCACCAACAACACAAGCTTCACCAATAACAGAAGCTTCACCAACAACAGAAGCTTCACCAATAACAGAAGCTTCACCAACAACACAAGCTTCACCAATAACAGAAGCTTCACCAACAACAGAAGCTTCCCCAATAACAGAAGTGTAAGGACAATGACACTGGCAGCAATAATACGAGCATTAGCAAGTATAGATGTGACTGAAATGATCAAATCCATACCCAAATAAATCACATTACCGTGATGCATCAATAAGAAATTCAGAAGGAGCCGTAAAGAGGAGTCGAACCTGTGCTGCAGGGTACTCCCGGGCACCGCTTTTGACCATGTCGCGGTGTAGCGGTCAAGACCTCCACATGGTCAATTGAGCGCTCCAGGGTGACCCAGTGTACCAGGGTGACCCAGTGTATCAGGATGACCCAGTGTACCAGGGTGACCCAGTGTACCAGGGTGACCCAGTGTACCAGGGTGACCCAGTGTATCAGGATGACCCAGTGTACCAGGGTGACCCAGTGTACCAGGGTGACCCAGTGTATCAGGATGACCCAGTGTATCAGGGTGACCAAGTGGATCAGGGTGACCCAGTGTGCCAGGGTGACCCAGTGTATCAGGATGACCCAGTGTACCAGGGTGACCCAGTGTATCAGGATGACCCAGTGTACCAGGGTGACCCAGTGTACCAGGGTGACCCAGTGTATCAGGATGACCCAGTGTACCAGGGTGACCCATTATACCAGGGTGACCCAGTGTACCAGGGTGACCCAGGGTGACCCAGTGTACCAGGGTGACCCATTATACCAGGGTGACCCAGTGTACCAGGGTGACCCAGGGTGACCCAGTGTACCAGGGTGACCCAGCACACCAGGGTGACCCAGTGTACCAGGGTGACCCAGTGTACCAGGGTGACCCAGTGTACCAGGGTGACCCACCACACCAGCGTGACCCCAGTGTACCAGGGTGACCCAGTGTACCAGGGTGACCCAGTGTACCAGGGTGACCCCAGTGTACCAGGGTGACCCACCACACCAGGGTGACCCAGTGTACCAGGGTGACCCAGTGTACCAGGGTGACCCAGTGTGCCAGGGTGACCCAGTGTACCAGGGTGACCCAGTGTACCAGGGTGACCCAGTGTACCAGGGTGACCCCAGTGTACCAGGGTGACCCAGTGTACCAGGGTGACCCAGTGTACCTTGGTGACAAAGTGTACCAGGGTGACCCAGCACACCAGAGTGACCCAGTGTACCAGGGTGACCCAGTGTACCAGGGTGAACCAGTGTACCAGGGTGACCCAGTGTATCAGGATGACCCAGTGTACCAGGGTGACCCAGTGTACCAGGGTGACCCAGTGTATCAGGATGACCCAGTGTATCAGGGTGACCAAGTGGATCAGGGTGACCCAGTGTGCCAGGGTGACCCAGTGTATCAGGATGACCCAGTGTACCAGGGTGACCCAGTGTATCAGGATGACCCAGTGTACCAGGGTGACCCAGTGTACCAGGGTGACCCAGTGTATCAGGATGACCCAGTGTACCAGGGTGACCCATTATACCAGGGTGACCCAGTGTACCAGGGTGACCCAGGGTGACCCAGTGTACCAGGGTGACCCAGTATACCAGGGTGACCCAGTGTACCAGGGTGACCCAGGGTGACCCAGTGTACCAGGGTGACCCAGCACACCAGGGTGACCCAGTGTACCAGGGTGACCCAGTGTACCAGGGTGACCCAGTGTACCAGGGTGACCCACCACACCAGGGTGACCCCAGTGTACCAGGGTGACCCAGTGTACCAGGGTGACCCAGTGTACCAGGGTGACCCCAGTGTACCAGGGTGACCCACCACACCAGGGTGACCCAGTGTACCAGGGTGACCCAGTGTACCAGGGTGACCCAGTGTACCAGGGTGACCCAGTGTACCAGGGTGACCCCAGTGTACCAGGGTGACCCAGTGTACCAGGGTGACCCAGTGTACCTTGGTGACAAAGTGTACCAGGGTGACCCAGCACACCAGAGTGACCCAGTGTACCAGGGTGACCCAGTGTACCAGGGTGACCCAGTGTACCAGGGTGACCCAGTGTACCAGGGTGACCCAGTGTACCAGGGTGACCCAGTGTACCAGGGTGACCCAGTGTACCAGGGTGACCCAGTGTACCAGGGTGACCCAGTGTACCAAGGTGACCCAGTGTACCAGGATGACCCAGTGTACCAGGGTGACCCAGTGTACCAGGGTGACCCAGTGTACCAAGGTGACCCAGTGTACCAGGGTGACCCAGTGTACCAGGGTGACCCAGTGTACCAAGGTGACCCAGTGTACCAGGGTGACCCAGTGTACCAGGGTGACCCAATGTACCAGGATGACCCAGTGTACCAGGGTGACCCAGCACACCAGGGTGACCCCAGTGTACCAGGGTGACCCAGTGTACCAGGGTGACCCAGTGTACCAGGATGACCCAGTGTACCAGGGTGACCCAGTGTACCAGGGTGACCCAGTGTACCAGGGTGACACAGTGTACCAGGGTGACCCAGCACACCAGGGTGACCCAGTGTACCAGAGTGACCCAGTGTACCAGGGTGACCCAGTGTACCAGGGTGAACCAGTGTACCAGGGTGACCCAGTGTACCAGGGTGACCCAGCACACCAGGGTGACCCCAGTGTACCAGGGTGACCCAGTGTACCAGGGTGACCCAGTGTACCAGGATGACCAAGTGTACCAAGGTGACCCAGTGTACCAGGGTGACCCTGTGTACCAGGGTGACCCACCACACCAGGGTGACCCAGTGTACCAGAGTGACCCAGTGTACCAGGGTGACCCAGTGTACCAGGGTGACCCAGTGTACCAGGGTGACCCAGCACACCAGGGTGACCCCAGTGTACCAGGGTGACCCAGTGTACCAGGGTGACCCAGTGTACCAGGGTGACCCACCACACCAGGGTGACCCAGTGTACCAGGGTGACCCAGCACACCAGGGTGACCCCAGTGTACCAGGGTGACCCAGTGTACCAGGGTGACCCAGTGTACCAGGGTGACCCAGCACACCAGGGTGACCCAGTGTACAAGTGTGACCCAGTGTACCAGGGTGACCCAGCACACCAGGGTAACCCAGTGTTCCAGGGTGACCCAGTGTACCAGGGTGACCCAGTGTACCAGGATGACCCAGTGTTCCAGGGTGACCCAATGTACCAGGGTGACCCACCACACCAGGGTGACCCAGTGTACCAGGGTGACCCAGTGTACCAGGGTGACCCAGCACACCAGGGTGACCCAGTGTACAAGTGTGACCCAGTGTACCAGGGTGACCCAGCACACCAGGGTAACCCAGTGTTCCAGGGTGACCCAGTGTACCAGGGTGACCCAGTGTACCAGGATGACCCAGTGTTCCAGGGTGACCCAGTGTACCAGGGTGACCCAGTGTACCAGGGTGACCCAGTGTACCAGGGTGACCCAGTGTACCAGGGTGACCCAGTGTACCAGGGTGACCCAGTGTACCAGGGTGACCCAGTGTACCAGGGTGACCCAGTGTTCCAGGGTGACCCAATGTACCAGGGTGACCCACCACACCAGGGTGACCCAATGTACCAGGGTGACCCAGTGTACCAGGGTGACCCATCACACCAGGGTAACCCAGTGTACCAGGGTGACCCAGTGTACCAGGGTGACCCAGTGTACCAGGATGACCCAGTGTTCCAGGGTGACCCAATGTACCAGGGTGACCCAGTGTACCAGGGTGACCCAGCACACCAGGGTAACCCAGTGTACCAGGGTGACCCAGTGTACCAGGGTAACCCAGTGTACCAGGGTGACCCAGTGTACCAGGGTGACCCAGCACACCAGGGTAACCCAGTGTACCAGGGTGACCCAGTGTACCAGGGTGACCCAGTGTACCAGGGTGACCCAGTGTACCAGGGTGACCCAGTGTACCTTGGTGACCCAGTGTACCAGGGTGACCCAGCACACCAGGGTAACCCAGTGTTCCAGGGTGACCCAGTGTACCAGGGTGACCCAGTGTACCAGGATGACCCAGTGTTCCAGGGTGACCCAATGTACCAGGGTGACCCACCACACCAGGGTGACCCAGTGTTCCAGGGTGACCCAATGTACCAGGGTGACCCAGCACACCAGGGTGACCCAGTGTACCAGGGTGACCCAGTGTACCAGGATGACCCAGTGTACCAGGATGACCCAGTGTTCCAGGGTGACCCAATGTACCAGGGTGACCCAGCACACCAGGGTGACCCAGTGTACCAGGGTGACCCAGTGTACCAGGGTGACCCAGCACACCAGGGTGACCAGCTTTTATGCTGGACATCGCAGTAACAAGGACAGAAATAAGAAATGTCTCAATAAACTGGAGACAGATTTTTCCGACTATATTCTTGCCTCTGAGATACAACTACAGTCTTCATAAAAGCAACTTAAGTGTTTCACGAATGTTTACTAACTTTATATTATTCTAGAAAGATGTCTCCATTTTTGCGGAAGTCCTTCTGTTTAAGAGTTAATAAAGTACCAGAAGTACCACTACTCTAGGTGGAACTATGGTATTGTCCTTATGGCACCCATGTCAACACTGTCACTATGGCACCCATATCAACACTGTTACTATGGTGCCCATGTCAACACTGTCACTATGGCACCCATGTCAACACTGTCACTATGGTGCCCATGTCAACGCTGTCACTATGGCACCCCATGTCAAGTCCCTCGTCACACTCATCAGTCCTCAACATAACTGAAGACATGTAATAGTCTTTAAACCCTGCACGTATATGTATATTAATTAACACAACATATAAAAGAAAATAAATAAAGAAAGAGCCACATTCCCTGAACACAGGTTGTTGATATTCTCTTAACAATGGACTAACAATGGAGTGCCTGGCATTAGTGTGTGTGTGTGTGTGAGTGTGTGTGTGTGTATGTGTGTGTGTGTGTGTGGAGCAGAACGCTCAATGAGCCCGCTAGACACAACAGCTCCCTGGAATTATCTCATGACCCATGCTTTACTCGGCACATTACTGCCTCAATGGCCACTCTTGCTCTCCACAATCGCCTCAGAAACTAGGGAATAATGGTTCGATTCCCCACAAGGCGTGTTAAGCAATGGGGTGTGTACGTTTCCCCTGTAAGGGTTAGTTTAGCGGGGCTGTAATTTGGGCGAGACTTGGAACTGTGTAAGTCTTGTGAGATTTTGTAATTTTGGTCGAGTTATGGTGTTGTGTGGTGGTGTGGTAGTGTGTGGTGTGTGGTGTGGTGGTGTGGTGGTGTGTGGTGTGGTAGTGTGTGGTGGTGTGTTGTGTGGTGGTGTGTGGTGTGGTGGTGTGTGGTGTGGTGGTGTGTGGTGTGGTGGTGTGTGGTGTGTGGTGTGGTGGTGTGTGGTGTGTGGTGTGGTGGTGTGGTGGTGTGTGGTGTGGTAGTGTGTGGTGGTGTGTTGTGTGGTGCTGTGTGGTGTGGTGGTGTGTGGTGTGGTTGCTGCTCTCCTCCTAATGCTCTGTTTTTCCTCTTTGGGCTGGATGGTCTCGCTTCATGCAGGTCAGCGTTCAGTCCCCGACTGTCTAAGTGGTTGGGGACCATTCCTTCTCCCCCCTGTCCCATCCTAAATCCTTATCCTGATCCCTTTCCAGTGTTATATAGTGGTAATGGCTTGGCGCTTTCCCCTGATAATTCCTTCCTTGTTGTTGTTGTTGTTGATGTTGTTATTGTTGCTGCTACAAAGAACAACAAGTGTATATATATATATATATATATACGACTTACCAAGAAGACTTCCGAACTCCTTATCAAAAACAGCCCGAAGCCGACGGAGAACCCTCTACAGCAGTCAAGCGTTGTATACATGTACACTTGCCCCCACGAAGGATGTAACCTTCAATGTAAGTACATAGGTATGACGTCGACCAAGCTGACGAGGCGTTTGACATGCCATCTTCAATCTGGTGCCCCTAGGAATCACATGAAACAAGCCCATGACATTACTCTAACAAGAGAAATGTTGAACAAGAATACTTGCATAATAGACAAAACCCAAGATTCAAGAAGATTACAAATTCTTGAGGTAATTCACATAAGAATAGAGCGACCTACCATGAACACCCAAATCACGGAACTATTTACTCTACCCACCATGAGAGTAAGGACAAGACAAGAACATATCGATGCCAACACAGAAGACAATGTCCAACATAACAGGCCAATTACACTGGATTAATCTTTGTGTTTAGATAGGAGATGCCTCGTATGGGCCAATAAGCCTTCTGCAGCCCCTATGTTTATCCCTTATGTATCCCCCCATGTTTTCACCTTCATTATATATATATATATATATATATATATATATATATATATATATATATATATATATATATATATATATATATATATATATATATATATATATATATATATATATATATATATATATGTCGTACCTAGTAGCCAGAACTCACTTCTCAGCCTACTATTCAAGGCCCAATTTGCATAATAAGCCAAGTTTTCATGAATTATTATATTTTCTCATTTTTTTTTCTTATGAAATGATAAAGCTACCCATTTCATTATGTTTGAGGTCAAATTTTTTATTGGAGTTAAAATTAACGTAGATATATGACCGAACCTAACCATCCCTACCTAACCTAACCTAACCTATCTTTATAGGTTAGGTTAGGTTAGGGAGCTGAAAAAGGTAAGTTAGGTTAGGTTAGGTTGGTTAGGTAGTCGAAAAACAATTAATTCATGAAAACTTGGCTTATTAGGCAAATCGGGCCTTGCATAGTAGGCGGAGAAGTGCGTTCTGGCTATTAGGTACGACATATATATATATATATATATATATATATATATATATATATATATATATATATATATATATATATATATATATATATATATATATATATATATGCGGAAAAACCACAAAGAAATGTGAAAGAGAGATGAACGTTTCGGCCTGTTAAAGCCGTTGTCAACATCAGACTGACTAGAGGAAGAGAGAGTGGATACAGGCCAGCATCAAGGAACCTGACCAACCCATCTCTAGGGAAAGGATTACCAGAAACAGGAGAGGTCAAAAAGGATTAAGCGGTCAGAGAATAAGGAATAAGATTAAAGAAAAGCCTCATGAACACACAATAAATGAATATAAAATTGTAATGAGACATTGTAAGCCTCCCTTTCAGAGTTTTTCCTTAAACTGTTGTGCAATATTGTAACTTAAAACTGGGTCAAGTTTGTACATACCAGTACTAACATTGAGAAGATTTGGACATTGACTAATTAGCGCAGACTCAATTAAATTCCGTTCCACAAAGCCATTGCAATTGGCAATGCTTTTCGCCCCATCCCAATTAATAGTGTGTTCACACAAACTTGTATGTAGATACAAAGCATTAGACGTTTGGCCAGTTCTTATACTATAAGCATGTTGGGACATACGTAATTGTAAGGATTTTCCTGTTTGTCCAAGGTACACAGACTCACAATCATTGCAGGGAATCGAATACACACAACCTGTTGTACCAGGGGAGTTTCTTATTAAATTAGACTTTATCCTATTATTAGTGAACACCAAATTGATATTAAGGTTCTTAAAAACTGGGGAAAGTTTCTCAAATCCCATCGCATAAGATACCACCAATGAGTTTCTATTTTCTGGTTTCGCTTTGGAGACATTATTATAAAACGTACGTTTAGCTTTCCCAAACGAACAATCCAAAAACATCTTAGGGTACTGTAAACTCTTCCCAGTTTCATATATTTTAGCTATCTCTTCATCAAAAAACTCAGGGCTGCATACCCTCAAAGCTAGAAGAAACATTCCTGAAAATACTGCCTGTTTAACTTTACAATGATGATTCGAATAATAATGAACAAACCACCCCACGTTGGTAGGTTTTCTATACACATTAAATTTGAACCTTCTAGATATACATGGGTTGATACAAAAATAATAATGCAAAAAGGTGATTAAAGGTTATGGATCTCTTGAAAAACACAACAATGGGAAACATTGATGAATGTCACAGACGGGTTCGATCATTGTTGCAAGTCAAACACTTCTTCGAATTCCTCTGAAGTTGGACTAGTGCCCAAGACGCAACAGGCATTTCCCCTCTGAATCGCAACACTGAGGCGCTGGAACAAGAAACTTTTTGCTCTCTGGTCTTTTGAAGCGCTGATCAATTTGTCCCCCAATTCCTTCAGGAACTTCAATGCACATTTTCCCCACGAACCGAGGGTCTCCGAGCCGATCGGAACAAAGCTGTAGCAGTGTGCTAGACCTCTGTATTTAATAATTTTCTGCGATTCCCTGAAAGAAGCAGCACCACCGCTTTCACGTGTGCTGTAGTGGAGGTAGGTACTGGCCAGTGTGGCAGCGCACGTGTAGTCCCATACCACATGCTTACCATCCTTCCAAGGTAGCAAGGTGACCCCATCTGGGCGCTTCTGAGGGTCGTTAGGTCTGGATAAGTGTGGTTCTCTTTGTGCCGGGCAGCGGGCTGTGGCGAGGCTCCTCTTGATGATGTCGTTGACTTCTTCATGTCTTGCAATTTATATATATATATATATATATATATATATATATATATATATATATATATATATATATATATATATATATATATATATATATATATATATATGTCGTACCTAGTAGCCAGAACGCACTTCTCAGCCTACTATGCAAGGCCCGATTTGCCTAATAAGCCAAGTTTTCCTGAATTATTATATTTTCTCTAATTTTTTTGTTATGAAATGATAAAGCTACCCATTTCATTATGTATGAGGTCATTTTTTTTTATTGGAGTTAAAATTAACGTAGATATATGACCGAACCTAACCAACCCTACCTAACCTAACCTAACCTATCTTTATAGGTTAGGTTAAGTTAGGTAGCAGAAAAAGTTAGGTTAGGTTAGGTTAGGTAGGTTAGGTCGTCGAAAAAATATTAATTCGTGAAAACTTGGCTTATTAGGCAAATCGGGCCTTGCATAGTAGGCTGAGAAGTGCGTTCTGGCTACTAGGTACGACATATATATATATATATATATATATATATATATATATATATATATATATATATATATATATATATATATATATATATATATGTCGTACCTAGTAGCCAGAACGCACTTCTCAGCCTACTATGCAAGGCCAGATTTGCCTAATAAGCCAAGTTTTCATGAATTAATTGTTTTTCGACTACCTAACCTACCTAACCTAACCTAACCTAACTTTTTCGGCTACCTAACCTAACCTAACCTATAAAGATAGGTTAGGTTAGGTTAGGTAGGGTTGGTTAGTTTCGGTCGTATATC